GTGTGAAGCTGGTGAAGTGCAGGTACTGAACGGACCAAGTTGATTTTCGGTAAATGGACCTCTTAATCAATCCATCCTCCCTGCGAGTTATGAGTATGTCCAGGTATGGCAGACAATTGTTTTGTTCTGTTTCGCATGTAACCCGTAAATTAGCATGAGCACCATTGAGCCGTTCTACCAAATGTGTGAGCTGCTGCTCCGATGAACAGAAAGCCAAGCTATCATCGACATATCTTTTGTAGTATGGCACGTGGGCTATTTCTGTAGAAATGCTTCTTTCTACCATCAACATGAAGAAATCAGCGAGCGTGGGACCTAATGGTCTACCCATTGCTACGCCGTCAATCTGACGGTAAGTTGTATTCCGGAAGTGAAAATCCACATTCTCCTTGCACAATAGTAGAGATTCTCTTAGCAATTCAGTCGGCATTGGTAGCGAACAGCCACCGTTTTCAGCTAATTCACACACATACTCAACCGTCTGATGTAGCGGCACCTTGGTAAATAGGGATTCTACATCCAAGGAACATATGACTTTGTCTGACAGGTTGAGTTCATCCAGGTCATCAATGAGTTGAAACGAGTCTTTAAGACTGTACGGATTGAACTGTTGTTTCAGCGGAGCTAGCAACTTCATTAACCAACGAGCGAGTTTGTGCTGGGGTGCGTTCATCATTGAAGGGATTGGCTTGAGTGACACTTCACTCTTATGTGTATTTGGGGACCCATATAACTGTGGAATAGTGCTACCACTCGGCTTCAAACTATTAAATGTATTCAAGTCTATCACGCGGTGGAGGAGAAGCAATTCCAGGTGACGTACTATGTGCATTTCGGTGCAAGATGGTTTGCTTAGGTGTGGAGATATCGTTTCTATCGAAATGCATTTTCGTGCGTCGCTATCATCGTCCAGGGCTCTTACTGTTGCGTAGAAACAAACTCAAGTCCTCTGCAGCTAACCTAGAGACGGCTGAAACCAGACTTGCGGAACTACTAGAAACTCATGCACGCTTACTACCCGCGGTCGAGGATCTGTCTCTATGTTGCCGGATTGTTTTCACTAACTTTTGTAAATCAACTCTTGATGCTACGAGACGAAATCGCTCTGCTCGTTTAGAAAATTCACTGACGAACAACCAGGAGGAGGAACTAATTGCTCGTGATCGCAGTAAATACGTGATGAATCTATCGAACGTACAACTTAATGCGTTGCAATTAGAAGCATTATCACTTGGGTTTGATTACAAAGTCCCCCCCTAGGACGTTGGACGGCTTATTAATAGAAGCCCAATTTGAGAACTTTTTGGACCAGTTTAAGGAGCTCCAACCAAGCAGCCCTGATAAGCATATTTGGTTCGGAAACAAGCTAACCGATATCGCCCATGAGGTGAAAACCATGCCAAAAAATGAAAAAGGTGCCATCACAGCTCGACATTTTCAGGTTTTAAGTGAACTACGAGCTAAAGACGTAGTTGTAATGAAACCAGATAAAGGTTCAGGAGTTGTAATCATGAACAAAACCGAATAAAATGAGAAGATGTGCGCCATACTCAACGGCGCGAGTAAATTCGAAAGGCTCACGAATGTGGGGGACATAACCAATGTCGAAATGCACATAGTTCGTCACCTGGAATTGCTTCTCCTCCACCGCGTGATAGACTTGAATACATTTAATAGTTTGAAGCCGAGTGGTAGCACTATTCCACAGTTATATGGGTCCCCAAATACACATAAGAGTGAAGTGTCACTCAAGCCAATCCCTTCAATGATGAACGCACCCCAGCACAAACTCGCTCGTTGGTTAATGAAGTTGCTAGCTCCGCTGAAACAACAGTTCAATCCGTACAGTCTTAAAGACTCGTTTCAACTCATTGATGACCTGCATGAACTCAACCTGTCAGACAAAGTCATATGTTCCTTGGATGTAGAATCCCTATTTACCAAGGTGCCGCTACATCAGACGGTTGAGTATGTGTGTGAATTAGCTGAAAACGGTGGCTGTTCGCTACCAATGCCGACTGAATTGCTAAGAGAATCTCTACTATTGTGCAAGGAGAATGTGGATTTTCACTTCCGGAATACACCTTACCGTCAGATTGACGGCGTAGCAATGGGTAGACCATTAGGTCCCACGCTCGCTGATTTCTTCATGTTGATGGTAGAAAGAAGCATTTCTACAGAAATAGCCCACGTGCCATACTACAAAAGATATGTCGATGATAGCTTGGCTTTCTGTTCATCGGAGCAGCAGCTCACACATTTGGTAGAACGGCTCAATGGTGCTCATGCTAATTTACGGGTTACATGCGAAACAGAACAAAACAATTGTCTGCCATACCTGGACATACTCATAACTCGCAGGGAGGATGGATTGATTAAGAGGTCCATTTACCGAAAATCAACTTGGTCCGTTCAGTACCTGCACTTCACCAGCTTCACACCAGTGCGGTACAAACGGACACTTGTGAAGACTCTAGTTAGTCGTGCCAGACGAATTTGTTCGGCCGACTGTCTGGACGATGAGCTAGTGTTAATTACAGCAAAACTAATGGCGAACGGCTACCCTCGAAGATTTATCGAGAAACACAGCCAAACGCGAGGGCCAAAGGACTTGGTGTACACGGCAGCCAAGAAGAAAGTGTATATCGAGTTACCTTTCAGAGGTGACTTAGCCACGCTGAAGACAACTAAGCGTATAATTTCGGCTACACAAGGAAGTTACTATGCTGCACAAGTTGCCGTCATCAACCGAACCCTAAGTTTGCCCATACCTCCAACGAAGGAAGTTCAGCCTATTGGGGCCAGCTCACACTGTGTATACCAATTTGTATGTGACTGCGGAAAAAGTTACATAGGCAGCACCAATAGAACGCTGACTTCCCGAATAAAGGGACTTGTACCAAGATGGGTTCAACGTGAATTTGCTCAGATTGCCTACCCTCGTCAGATTCCAGGTTCGCGTAGACCGCCGGCTTCCTCGATAGGCATGCACCTATTAGACTCGGGTCACCAATTAGAGCTAGGCTCAGCGTTTAAACTTGTGTTACTTCACACTAATCTCCGCTTCCTTCGGTTTGTTGAGGCTGTCGCTATAAGCCGAATTAAGCCAGCCTTATGTGTTCAGAAACAATTATTTGTCAGCCTAAAGCTGCCTTGGACGTAGGTGTGAATTTCCATCATTCGTTTTGCACCTTAAGCTTGTCTGGTTGCACCCATTGTTAGCTATATCTATGCATATCGGTTATTGTTAATGGTACTGAGGAGACAATACGAAATGCATGCATCTACCAGCCTTCGTCTTCATTCCGTTCTTTTCAAATTGTTGAAGTGAACTAACTGCTTTTAATACGCATGAATCGGGAACAAATTGCCATCCGTTATTCCTGCTAAGTATTTGGAGCAAAAACTCTATTAAAGGATGAGCAACTTTTTGACCGTACCAAATGTGATCCACCTATTTGGATGACACGTAAGTAATGGTGAAGTTTGCGCACTAGAACCAAGATTTCTAAGAGTGAAATCCAGTCTACAATGGAGATCAAATATTGCGGTAGTGAGGCACGTACACACACCGTCTTTTTCTTCTTTCTTCTTCCTATACGGCTACGTCAACAACAAAGTTAACGCGAGCTAGTGTATTATGAGGAAGGCAGTTAACCAAACACATCTCCACATTCTCCGTCTTCATAATCGATATTCCTACCACTCCCATTACGTTTCACTCTTATGTTTATCTAGTAAATGCCCATCTTGCTCCAGTTTCATGCGAGTACACCTACCAGTATTCAATACCATCAAATAGCCTTGAACAAAGCGGTTATCACAATGTGCTTGAAGAAGATTAATCTGTATTTTATGCATTTCTGTATTCCTATCCTTAATTGACCTAGCAAACCGGATATAAAAATCCTGTGCCACATCAGATAAAACACTGAAAATAGATTTGCATTACTCTTGTGCATATTCCGATCATTCGTATTTGTTTAACTGGCACAGCCATTTAGTTGTCTACACTTGTCGTCACAGACGTGTCTCGCCGAAAAACAGAATATACAATTCATTTATGATGCGCCGGAAGTAGCATCAACTGACCTACCGCGTGGTATCCCAGTGCGGAAGCGAATGGCCGTCCAGTAGTTATCTGACAACTTCTTGATCAAGCTCGCCTAAAACAATTGTTACAGAGAGCGCAACCACGAGCGCAATAGCGGATATTGTAACTGACGCACAAATTACGGTTTTCGCGTCTGTGGTATCAGTAATTGGAAATGTGACACGGTAAACCCCCTTATAATGGAAAATAGGAAAATCATAAGCCGTAGTTTGTGAGATGAAGTCACCATTTCGTGTGTTCTTAACATTCACAAACACGCGGTGGCAATAGATGGGCAAACGCAATATCCAATTAGATTACAACGTCAAGCGCTTGCACCGTCGAGGTAGGCTTGGAAAACAAAGTCAGCTGTTTTCAAATGCACAACTGTGTGCGCTTGCGATAAATAACGGCGGCCCCCAACAACCTAAGCATGCGAAGTCACTGAACGACTTATCCAATGTGGCTCGGCGGTCAGTGGTCTGGAAGTTCCTTGTGTTTGCCGAGGCAAATCGGTTTCCCGATACAACTGATTCAATCGTCACAGACTTCATCAAGCCGCGTAACCATTTCGAGCGGTGTCCATTCCTTTTGACACCTAGACTTCGGTCAGTGTGCCAGACGTAGCTGTCTCCATGTTAACACAAGCGCTTGGTTATCGGCAACCTTATATGACACTACTTAGCACGGCTGCATGTCAGCGTTTAGTAAAAATTCAAGATATACTTACATTATCACAGTAACTACGTCTTCTAAGTAAAAGTGATTTATTCGGTTGTAGGTGGTACTGAAAACACAGATAAACAAACAAGGATGGAGACAGAAGTTTATTTTGGAAAATCAGAAAATTTTAATTAGCCCATATCGGTCTGCGAACGGCGTCATCAAACCACTGAAGTTGCGCCACTCATGTCGGCTGTTTCGATGATCGTCTTTTCGCGGCGATCAGCAGAGCGACATTGCGACCTCCGATCGCCGCAATCTCCATGCAAGAAGCCATGGCTTCAATTGCATTGGCATAATATAGGTTGGGTGCCAAGATAAAAGAACCAAGTTCCTCTTGGGGATCTTCCTGCAATGGAAGAATGGTTAGTAGAAAAGGAGCGAAGTTAGAGGTCGTACTAAATGCCAAAACTGAGGTTAAAAGTTGCTTGGAAAAGTCCTATAGAAAGACAATATCGTGCACTGTACAACGGCAATCGCAGTAAGACAAGCTATGTTACATCAGTAGATACGTTGCTCAAGTAGCCAGCACGTAAATTAAAAGATTATAAGTTCGAATCCAGCAAATGCTTAACGCCTACTTGCGGTCCCATGTGGAATAAGCTAGCCAAGCGTGGCACTCGTGACAGAAGCAGGAACTCGCTGCTCTTGAGACTCCTCAGCGTAGAGCAATCATGAATCTTAGGGTTCTCTTTCATCAACCCGAGCAGCTTAGATTGAAGCGCAGCAGTAGATATTGGCGTTTACGAGGGGATCTCATAGTGGTTTACTAGATTTTTAAGAACTTAACCCACAATTTCCACACGCTTCCGGAACTGAACGATATCAACATAAGAGGTCATCCACTGAAATTGATAATGCAGCATAGCTGTCCGGAATGCCGTAGAATGTTCGTTTCCCTTCAATTGCGACAACCGTGAAACACCCTTGCAACTTACGTGGTTAATTCTCCTTGACGAAACCTTGTCCAATTTACGTTTCATTTTATAACTTGCGTTATCCAGGAGGCTACAAAATGCAACCAAACAGTGTGTTTCCAAAATTTCAACCAGTGGATTTATGGGTTTAACTTTTATCACGAGGACAGCTCGGCAATTCTACGAATATCTTTGGTTAGTCTAACAAAACCCTCTTCATATCATCATGAAAGTTTAGTTGCTTAATCATTTCCATCCCATGGGACCAGTTAAAGCACTGGTTTTCTACCCGCACTAGACCTTTGGACCGAAGTTTCATGTAGATGTATACAGATATAACACCAAAGCCAACTAACGGTGAGATGCTACCTATATGACGCTTGGTATGACAACGTCGAGTGTACCATAGAAAAGAAATTGCATGCTCGTATACAGTGAAACCAAGAAGTAGCTTTTATGACAACCGAGGTTTGAGCACCAACTAGAAAAATCTATTGGCGTGCTGGCACTAATTACTTCGTCAGGGCATCTGTTATATATTTCTATTCAATTAGTTGAGCTCCTAGACTAATGCGCAAAATGCAGGCCAAGCTTCAAGACAGTGCTCCCCACTAGGGGCTCAAAGATGCTGCGACCGTTATGGCTAAGTAAGCGACATCTTCTCGGGTCGGATGCAAACTGCATTCCGGTTTGCAAAATCCATCTAACTGGATCTATGAGAGAAGGTAAGATGAAAGCGTGACGCAAACTGAGTGTTGGGTGTAATTTTTAATAACCAACAGACAGCAAGAACCATACAGAACATGACGTATCAAGATCAACCCGTCGGGCACTGAACTCGTGCTAGAAGTTTCCGAGCAATACCGAGAGTTGTATTGACAAGCTGACCAACTTCGGCACGTGCTCCGGTGTTACTGCCATCTAACATGGAGAGGATGTAGCCTTCACGGAACTCGGACCAGTGACCTACAGCTCAGTGATGTACCACCAAGTTGGGAGCAGATAACAAATTGAACCCACGTTTTGAGCGAATGGGTTGCTACAGATTGAAGTGTTTCCAGTTCTAGGCATAACAACATGTGTGGTTCGGTCGGATACTATAGGGGAAGCTTAACTGTCAGTAAACAATGTGTGCGTAGGGTTGAAAACGTAAAATCTATTGACTTTACCACTGGCTTGAAAACTGGAAACGCCAAAAACTCCGTTTTTAGGCCGTATGAGTCCGCATCGTTTGTCGGATTCACTGGGTCGATAAAAGCGGTGAGCGATTTGATGGGGTCGGTCAAGCGCTCTGGATCACTGAAACAGGAGTAAACGTTGACACCGCCATCCGCGACATTTCTTGGCAAAGAAATTATACTTCTAAATGGGCACAACTCTTCTTCGTAAGCGCTTGCACTTGGAAAAATCATCGGCAGTTTATTCACTGTGACAGAGTCTGTAAATGGATAAGGACAATGGAAGCAACAAGCGATTCAGGTCAGCTTACGACTTGCAGATGCTGCAGTGATGTCTGAGCTACATGCTTTATAGCAAATAGATTGTGATTAACCTACTCTAGATAAAACGGTGTGAGGATTGTAATAAGGTCGAACAATCTGTAACTGCATTACGCTGTAAGTACAAATGCTGTGGATCGTAGATATCTTCCAAAGCGTATGTTTGCATAGTGCACAAAGTAAATGGCTAGTTCAAATTATTTTCGCGTGATCAAGTTCAATCCACAGAGAGACTATAGCGGATACAAAGAGGAACTCGGCTGGTCAGTCATAAGCAACAAAGTCAGTAATTACCAAGTTACACCATATATATGTTTAGTAGAATTATTAAAATCATGGGAGAAGGAGAGTTTACTACTGACTTGGTTGACTTTGGATTCTTGTATTCATATAAGATTGGACTCAAACAACGATCTAAATGTCATCGGTGTTGCTCGATTCCAACTTTGCGTTCAACAAACTGATTCGCCATTTAGTGCATTTCTCAAGCAGAGTTGAGTTGCAATCCAAAGACGTGGTATGCACTCAAAGCGTGAAGTGATTCCCTAAATTATATGTCAAATGTTACAAACCGAGCCCAATAAGCAAGTGATCAGGAAGGCAGTCGTCCATCACCGCATCGAGCGTTTCACTTTCAGCTACAGTTGTTTCTACCTAAAGAGTCGAAACAATGATGAAACGAGTACCCCAAACACCTCAAGCTTGGATGCAGTCCAGGTGATCAGAACGACCAAAGATAAGATAAGTAAGATAAGACTAAGATAAGTCTGTATTCAATAGAATAGAGAATAGTGAGAGTAGAGAGACTGAAGATAAGATATTTGTGTTGCTCCAACGTAGGTGGCTCGGGCACATGCGCGGAATCACTTCGCTGATTGCTGCGTGGTGGCAGCATATGGCAGCTGCACCACATCCTATGCGGGTACGACCCGCTCCCTATACCTGCAGACCGAAAACTGTGCGTCAAGGAATCGCTAAAATTCCGACATCGATTTGTCCTCGACTAGTGTCTCCAGCAGTTTGTTCCAATATTTCACCACTCGACGCTCGAAGCACAGAGAGTGAGCGATGCGCTTTAAATCAGGTATTAGTAGTTCATACCGGTGTCTGCTTGTGTTGCTTGGTGTGCGAACAGGCAGCAGAGGTCTCAACATAGGGAAGTGGCCCAGGTGCAGTGTCTGGTGCGTCTTAATGAGATCAACCGGATGCCGACGATATGACAGGGGCTACCGCCCTAGTCTCCTACATCGGTCCTCGTGCGATGTGCCCCGTAAAGTGGGGTTGAGCCGGGTAGCTACCTGCTGGACCCGTCCCAGTTTCTGCACCTCACCGATTGTGATCGGACAATAGGCGAGTGAGCCGTACTCAAGCACCGGTCTTATCATGCAAGAGAACATACTGGTGGAAATCACTTCAGACAAAGTGAAGAAACTTCGTCTAAGTGCCCAAAGCAGGTATAGTCCGTTTGTGTACAGTCTGTTCATGCGGTCGACAGACTTTAGTTCACTGCGTGAGAGTACGCCTTGATCCTTTGCGGAACTGGTGGGATGCAGCTGGTGGCCGGCCAGGATGTACGCACGCCCAATACCACTCCTCCTCAGGCTCATAAAGGAGGACTTGGCCAGGTTGACCGGAAGATCAACCTCTGCAGCCCACCGGGATAGGTAGTCGAGGTCCTGCTGAAGGACGTCACAGTCGCCGGGAGAATCGATAATCATCCAAATCCTCAGGTCGTCTGCAAATAATGCGCACTGCGGCCTAATAAGCTGAGGTAATTCGTTGATGTGGATCAGGAACAAAATGGGCCCCAGTGCTGTGCCTTGGGGTATGCTGCTAGTGGACGGGCACCATTCCGTTACGTTGTCATCCACCTGAACCCGCCATCTTCTCCCAAGAAGGAAGTCACTGCTCCACTGATGCAGTACGCCAGCAACACCATTCTTCCTCAGCTTGTGGAACAAGACCTTTCTGTTCACTTTATCAAAAGCTTTATTGTAATCAATGTAGATAACATCCACTGACTATCACCGGTTCAACGCTTACAATCATTCCTGCCGCGTCAACAGAAAATTGGTGATTTACGAGCGGCTCCTCGTGAAGTCGTGCTGTGTCGGCGTTAGGAGATCTTTTGACAACAGCAGCTGGAGGACCATTTTTCACAAGCTTCTCGAGCATCTTCGCTAAAACAGAGGTGAGACAAATTATTGCGTGGATCACCGCTTTTTGGAATCGGCATCACTATCGAGCATTTCCAATCGTTTGGTAATGCAGCTTTGGACAGGAATCCGTTAAACAGATCCGTCACGGCAGGCGATATGATGGCCGATAAGGACTTTAAACTTAGCGGGTGAAGTCCGTGGGATCTGGCAGGTTTCGTGCTTTCAAGACTGGCAAGTAGACCGCGGACATCTTCTACACTGCAATCCAGGCCCTCGAGTTCGGCATGGGCGTATCCCCAACAGTAAATACGGAAGCGAAGTGCTTTGCCACTGAGGACGTACGTTCAGTGCTAGAGATCAACGGCTGTCCGTCAGTGCCCTCTAACTCAGCGACGTTACTTGCGAGCTTCAGGTGTCGCTTTGCAAATGCAACAAGCTTTTTTGGGTCGCCTTTGCTGAGGGTGCAAGATCCTCTTCGAACTGCCGAGGCTTTCGGGCTTTTGCGCTGTTGCATAAATTCCGCTGCATTTATACGCCCCATAATCGTCGGCAGGGCCAGACATGAGGAATATATTGCACAAAACGCGTCGCTGTCGAGACAATGGACCATACTCTCTGTCGAACAAAAGTGGCTTCACTGGTCCAGCATTCCGATACATGTGGGGTATGATACGAGCGCACAACGATTGCACACCCCCTTTTATTACAGACCAACAAGCTTCAACAGATGAATGCTGCGGCAGTGACCACTCTTCTTCACTGGCAACTAAAGCAAGACCATCGAATTCGGTCTTCCAATAATTGTAGGACGGCTCCGGCGGACGCGAGTAGGGCAGCGGCATCTCTAGGCTGGCTAACACCATCGAGTGGTCACTAGCTGCCAGAGGCTCCAGGACCTGCATTTCATATACATGTTGCCCGCAACTCGTTAGTAATAGGTCCAGACATGATGCCGCGGAATGCGGCGTACCCCGCGTCGGTTGACAGACATGTTTTGCTGTCCCCCTTTCACATACCACCTCCGCAAACTTCGGCTCGATTTCACAGTGCCCGGGAAGAAGTTGAACTTCAGGCCATCGTATTTGAGGGAAGTTAAAATCACCCATAAGCAGGAAGCGGGACCGACTCATTTAGTTTCTGACATGTGGCAACCAATCCAGGCATCAACTTCGCGGGCTGCGATAATCGGCAGCCACACACAGTTCACCTTGTCTCAGACGGATCGAGCACTATAACTGTTCGCACAGGCCACCTTCGCTGCTGTTGGTGTGTACCAGCCTCCCGCACGACGAAAACCGAATGTATAACAGCACGCTGCCTAAATTGTTTGATAGTATGTCACACTGGAAACACGAGTAGCCACTGATCTGAACTTTCCTGGTAGTGACCTCAGGATTTAACCAGGTTTCAGCCAGTCCTAGTACGTGCAGACGAGGAGAGGCGACGAAGTGATATATGTCATTACGTTTGTTCATTAAGCTACAAACAGTTGTGAACGCTACGCGCAGACCTCGGTAGGAACCGAAGGACGCGCACGAAGTGTCATCAACTTGTTGCACAGGGTTCGGCGGATCTTGGAAACTACCCGATAAGTTACAATGTGGAGATTGGTTTCTCTACTATCAATCCGCCGCTTCAATTCCACGATAGCGGACTTCTGTTTCTCTCTGCCCGACGGATCCAAATCGGGACGACTCTGGATTTTTAGACCTCTTAGCCTACCGAGGCAGGATAGTATCAGCTTCGAACTCGGTTCATCAACAAACGTGACTCGCAAAGGCCGGGATTTACCATCCTATCGCTTTCCAAGATAGGTGACTTGCATCACTCGCATTCTCTGCTCATTCACTTCGAGAAGTCCATTAATCAGGCTCTGCAGAAAATCTATGTTGTGATCATAACCAGCCTGAAAACTAGCATCCGTCGATTCAGGTGCGTGAAAAACCATAAGGTTACAACGCTACTGATTGCTGACAGTTTTTCTCACCTTTTGCTTTGCTGCATTCTCCACTGGCTTTCATCGCCTGCGCTATCGCACACGCATGCACGCCAGCTGAGGGTCAAGCAACGGGTGGGCATCATTATGCAAAGCCTGTAGCCGGTGGGCAGGTCAGCTCGTTCGAACATAGGGATAACTGTGTTTCCGTTTAGTTGGATGAACTCATGGAAGCCCACGGAACATTTCCGCCGTTTTGTAGGCTCGCGCGGCCTCTCGGCTGTTTGTGACTGCACCGACACGCCAACTGAGGCTCCAGCAATGGGTGGACATCACTCTGTAGAGCCTGTAGCCGGTGGGCAGGTGGGCTCGTTCGAACATAGAGGTAGCTGGGTTTCCGCTTGCTTGGATAAACCCACGGAGCTCCTCCCCATGGAGCGTTTCGCCCGTCTAGTAGGCTGTTTGTGGCTACACAGTGGCCTGGCATTTCATGCAAACTATTTTGAAAATGTCCTGCTGAATTTCCCGCAGTAGTTTAAACTGATCTAAAGGCAAAGTAATACACGAAATGGGGATATTCACACGACACATAAAGCATGTAAAAGCATTTGGTCTTTGCCCAACTATTTTGTAACAAGTGTCTCAGGGAGTCAGCTTTATCATTACGGATAGCTTAACAGTAGTGACGGTAAAAGTGATAAATTGTACGATAAGTACACGATACAAATACCACAGTAAAATAAACGGACACGACACTAAAACACAATAAACAAATTCAGAATCGCAAAACAAACTGTATTTGACAAGAATAAACACGAAAAATCTGCTCTGCACAAAGTAATGAACGATGAAAACTGGCCTGTCAAACAGAGCGAGAAAATCCGTCCGGTGAGCGCTATCCGCTATCCAAGTCCTGATTAGGTTAGTCAATCCAAACACACGGCGGGTACACCGACACTCAGCAATGAAGAGGCCAATACTTTGCGGCTCATTTTATGATAACAAGCATGTGTGACCTACACACCATGATGGAAATCAGTAGCACCATGGTCGGTCCTCTTACCTGAGCAGCTTTTATACGCTTACATGCAATACATGAGAACAATGCACCATAAGGATGTTACCAGGCCCTAGTTTGTTCCTACGTGACTAACGATGGACCACTGTTTATCCACACACGACTTAGTCGATTGTTGATAAATAACTGGCCAGTGACTACACAGCGTTAAACGTGGATACGCATTAAAGACATGGTTCGTTTAATTACGGTTGGAGGAGAGAATAACAAGCCAGGACGCGCCACTTACAGAAGAGGACCGGTAGCTAGCGCGGACCAGACTGGCAAGTACTGATGGGTAATATCACGTGTTTCCTCTGCTGGGAAAACAGTCATCCTAGTGATATTTCCATTTATGGGTCTGCAGCAGGATACTGTAAATTCCGAGTATCACTGCGTTGGTATTTAGTTGCCAACAACATTTGCAACAAAAATACTTGATACTGCGCAAACTCAATGCGAGTCTCACCGGATTCTCTTCTCATTGCACAAACGCAACGTATCGTGTTATGTGCTGGAAGGACAGCAGCTTTACGCCAACGTAATGTGATGCCCGAAGTCGAAATAAAATCCTGCCTGTTTCAAAACGAGTCCCAGTTGATTTTGGTCAATCCGTGCATCGTAAAGAGTGAACTGGCTCGAAGTAATTATAAGGTTACTCAAATGCAAAGACTCACAAGTCTTGGGCAGGCAGAACACCAGGAATATCGTAGAAAAGCATTAAGCCTTAACCGCCTCCATACGTCCTGGATTTGTGCTGACAATGTAATTCGCGTAAGCCGGTGCAGTCATTCAACTACATGTTTGCAAAAGCAGATCTCTGCACTAAATGGGAACTCTTCATCACACACAGCCAAATTCGATCCAATTGGAATGCGGCACTGTCCACTGAGAGTAGTTTATTTGTCAAGAACAGCAGCTACTTTTCGCCGGTGCGCGATAGCTCCCTTGGCCCACATGAGGGAGGTGATGCGATTACCTCATTTCAAGGATATCATATTACGTTATCTGCGGCAGCTGCAATTAACGTACTTTCGCCCTCTGCGCCTGCATAACTGACAAAGCATCGATAATTGTCAAGTTTGTAGCTCCATCCAGTTAATCGGTAGCAGTTGAGGCTTCTCAACATTATGCTATGGGAGATGGAACACACCGATCTAATATATGGATGGGGTGTTTGCTACTAGTTCACTGTCAAAGATGCTTCACCTACGTGTACGCATTGTGTAATATCAAACACACTTGTGTACGGTAGTAACCCGAACGTGTCCCTTCAAATGCGACGCGAGGAGAGAGAGTGGTGCGGTTTGGTTAACGGAAAGAGTGTTTGAGTGATCCAGATGGAATTAGCTGTAGCTTAGAGCAAGGTGACGTAGTTGTTAGAGAGACGAACACAGATTGCCAGCTAAACGGATAGTAAGGAGATACTTTTACAAATTAAAACCTAGTTGTACTAAAGAGGCCTCATTTCGAACAAGGCATGCCTCGTAAAACCGAGAATATACAGTATTATTACTACTATTATTATTATTATCATTATTCTTGAGTTCCTATACCAATTACCGACTTCCGGTTTTTCAACTTGGTATGATTTTCCACTGCAAAAAGTGTTGAAGCTTATTACTTACTCTGAATATGCTGTCAAAATGTTTAGCTAGTCTTGCCATCAATTTGCAGAAAAATAGGGAACAAGGGACAATGAAGTCATCTCAGAGAAGCCTTAGAATGGAAAAACGAACTGAGTACTAATGCTCTGCCTATCAGTCCCATAAACACTTAAAACATAGTGGCGTTACATAAGATATTTGTTGCAATATAGTTTGGGGAATATCATGAAAAAGCTTAAACCGAGAGTCAATTGCTCTGACAGATTTTCAGTGTTATCGGTAATCAGGCTTTCTAGTAACTTCTCAGACGCTCAAGAGTGCATCTTTTTGTCCAAGGAGATGAACAGGACAGTGGTTACGCTCTGTGTCCATTGTACCGAAGCGTGCACGAAATGACTGCAAGCTCTATTATGACCAGGCGACCTGAGAGACGAGTTGCAATCTACCAGACACGATCAATTTAAATGACACACTCCTCCGGACTTATACTGCATCCTTTCCGCCATTTTGTGGGAACTGTCAAACGTTCGCTTTAATACCCGTTATAAACCGCTGCTCCTTAGACGGAGCTATCAGATCGTCCACACATATTGGAATGTGGTTGTCCGTCCTTACAACCCATTTGTTCTAATGGCTATAGAGCTCAAATTATGCCAGATAAATATGATAACGAAGCCGAATGAGAGGTGCAGAAACGTCAAATTTCGGTCACTCACCAGGTGATATTCCAAAGGCAGAATACTTGAGCGTCCCATGAATGAACGTATGATCTACCCGGCGATAGGTCGCTGTGGGTAATTTGATGTTGCCTTTTCCACAAATAGTTGCCGCTTGGTGCATGGGCGCTGCCAAGACAACGTAGTCGAACGTGGCTTTCTTGGTGTTTTTCTCTTGGTCTAGAACATATTCGACGGTATAGGAGCTGGAATGAGAAATCAGTGTCGAAATGGTCTGGTTATCTGCATACTCTTATGTCCTGTTTGTACGATGATTGTCCTCTCAAACCTGTTCAGTGGTGCATTAGGTTGGTGAGGACCTGTGTAAGGGGTCAATATCCAAGGCAATAAATGAGCATGCACATCGTATGCGTAAGAAAATTGACCCACTTAGCCAATATTAATTTAGATTCCAGACGCTCTTGCATCATCTTATCAGTTTTTTATTTTGAAACACCAAGCTTTTCAAGGACAGGATCAAGCACAACCAGTAGAAGAATGTTGCACATGTCGAAAGCGCTCAGCATGAAATGATGTTAGATATATCGATACGACTTAAACGAATATGACGTGGTTTGAAAGAAAATAAAAAATGTTAACAATAGCCGTTTTAATATCCCCTCCTCTACTCCGCGCTACTGATGTCAGAACAGAGTTAATAGCTTTCATCGTAATGGGATTGTAGCTTGTACGAAGTGTGCTCTGCTGATATAATAGTTGGAGCAAGCCAGTTTAAAGTTTATTTGAGAAACTGCTTGGGCCTATTAAAATACATAAAGTGTAGGTTATTGCTAATTCAGAAAATAGCCAAAGTCTCCCAATCCCACATGGTACCTTCAGAGAGAATTGGGATAAGCCAAATGGAAGATGATTCAAAAGTGCTTCATCGTCGGGTTCACTTGAAGTGTTATTCCGAAGAGATTAATTGCTACTAGTTAAGTTAGACAACAGTTTCTTTTCAGCTAAGATGACCATTACAGTGTCGCAAGGACTTGACAACACTGATTTAATATATAGTTAATCGGAGAGATATTTGGCAAAAGTCAGTAAACAGGAAACGGAGGTGATATATGTAGCCAACGTTTGTAGATAAATAGCTTCAATATATCCACCAATAGAGTCTAACCTATGGTCTCCCTATTTCTACTGCTTAAATGGGTCACCCTGACAGACGGGTAATAATCCGGTTCCCAAAGTATCTGGAACGAAGGAGTACAAACTATAACCGCTTGCGCTGAACGCTACTATCGATGAACCAAACTGTTTGTGCGGATGACTCCAGTTACTAGACGGCTAGCTTTGTTGGCAAACATCACCAGTGCTCCATTTGGTAAGTAACGTGAGCATCACTACCCAATATCGTGCAGGTTTAGGTGAGCTGGGGTCCCACTGGGTAAATTATCTGCCTATGGGTTAACATCATCTTCTGACATGCCTTCGACACGAACAGCCACCTGTATAGCCAGCGCCAATCACTATGGCAAAAGCCAGCAACACAAAACTCCTTGAAAGCATGGCTGAAAGTACTATGATCGGTTGGTTTTATACCAACATCACAAAACAAAACCCCATAGTTGCAGCCTAAAAGGACTCGTCTAGCGTATGTATACTCTCAATGCATGTGCAGAGCTTTAATTCAAAATCATTCGCTCAGCCTGTTATTCATGATTATGCTTAGAAGTCTTGATTGCTCAGAAATCTGCGACATCAATGCAACCTAGAGAAGCTTTATCTATATCAGGAGAAATGTCAGGTTCGCAGCTTGTCTTCAAATGTAACGCTTTAACTCCATCGCAATGAGGCTGGACCCTACCGTGGTGCAATGGTTTGCGTGCCTCAGTGATCCATGGAGCTATGCTGAGTGGTGCATTTTTGCACCTTCAGAGTCACACTTACCGGATTGGTCAATGTTTAGAGGCCAGACAAACTCAGCCTCCTGGTCCTCCAGGTTGGGAGTTGGAAGGAGAATGACTCTTTATTCCTTAAAACGGACTTATTGTAGCCCAACGTCATACCCTCTGCTTTGCGGTCAAGTTTTTGAACCAAAGGCTTTGGTTGAGAACCCTAATCGTTCTCCAGTCTAGGCCTGCGCAACCTGACAGTAGCTTGCCAACGCAATCCTATGAATCTTTTCACAAACAATTTCCTGATGCTGTGGTCACCGCAGAGGATAATCAACGATGCCCTATCTGCTGCATCGAGCAGAGTGGATAGGGGTTTGTATGCTACTGCTCAAGCCTTCCCGTCTTCTTATGCACCCGCTTACGCTTTTTCACCCCTATCGTCCCGTTCCAGCTTCTCTTTTATCCCCCTGTTTTCAACCCCCAAATTATTGGCCCTGCTCCACCTTGCTACAATAGTCGCTTGTCTTTTAATTTCAACTTACATGTGAAGGCGGAGCGTCATTTCTGCCGTGTCAACAGGCCCATGTCCAAGCAAGCGGTCAAGGCCAATTCATCGGCTTCCATTTGAAGCCTTCGATCCTGCTTCAGCTTGGCACGTCTCAATGTACGCACATTGCTACAGATCGGTCAACAGGCAGCACTTGCCTGAACATTAGAGACCCTCTCGATCGATATCTGCGGCTTATCGGAGACCCGCCTGCAAGACTCGAGCTCTGTGCTCACTCTGCGATCCCCTACTGGCGACACTACCAGCAATTTCTCATTGCGCCTATCTGGTGACGATACAGCTTCGAGCACCGGCGAAGCAGGTGTTGGTATTGCCCTGAGTCCCCTGGCTGAAGCTACTCTGGTTGATTGGATCCCAATCAGTAGTCGGATGAGTGCGGTCCGATTGGCTGGCTCTTTCAAAGCTTCGAAGTCGCGTGGGACTAACAGGTGTCTATTCGTTGTTACTGCTTATGCACACACAAACTCTAGGGATGACACGGTAAAAGACGACTTCTATCGTCAACTGAAGGAGCTCCTTCGCCACAGAAGTAGCTCGAACACTGTAGTGCTGGATGGGGATCTAAACGCTCAAGTTGGAAAATTATCCACTGATGAACTGCAGCTGGCCGTCCAACATGGTGTAGGCTCTCGTAATGATAACGGTGAGCGGTTACTTCATTTTCATGAAGATGCTCGCTTCTTTCTTGCGAGCACTAATTTCCGACACAGCAGCCGCCGGAGGGTGACTTGGCGCCCACCAGCCTTGAACCAGCTATGGACGCTAATCGATCACATTGCGATAACTTGCCGATGGAGAGGCTGCATCCTAAACTGTCGCTCGATTTGGACCACATGTGTAAACACGGACCACGCACTTGTATGTGCTGATCTGCGGATGCGCTTTGGCAGACGCACACGACGACGTTGTGACCGCATTGATAGCAGTCAACTGGCGAAGCCAGCTATTCTGAATTGCCATCAATGTACGTTGTCATGCGAGTTGGATAAACGCTCACTGGATGCAATTGAAGCTCACTGGTCTCATATACACCAGACCATACTAGCAGCAGAAAAATCCTCATGTGGTATGTCTAATCGCCAACATGGGCATTGGGTTCCTTCGCAGTCTCTGAAGCTTATCGATGCTGTCCAGCATATTTCGGTTGGAAGCGAAGACAATGAAAGTTGCAAAGAGCTCCGGGCAAACTCCATGCTAGCCTGAAGAGAGACGCGAATCCTGGTGGTCTCATCGTGCATCAGAGATGGAAATGGCCGCTGCCCTTGGTAACCATCGTAAGTTATTCCGGCTGATACGGAAAACGGGCAACAGAAGATCTGGTGTTAGTGAAACTGTGCGTGACGAGTTGGACAGCCTATCCACAACTTATCAAAACGCTTAGAGCGTTGGGCTGAGCCCTATGAAAGGCAATTTAATCGGTCGGAATTGTTAGATTTCTCACCGGCCACTGATCGTCCCGCTCTGTGGGCTGTCCATTTGGATCCACCCTCTCGCTCAGAAGTCGAAGGTGAGATCGGACTGTTGAAGTTGAACAAAGCCGCGGGATCAGATGCTCTTCCTTCAGCTCTCTTCAAATTCGGGTGACCAGCTTTTACATGGGTTACTAGCGAAACTGTGGGAGCAGGAAACTGTCACAACCGACTGGAGCCGCTCCGTCATAGTCACCATTTTCAAGGTAGGCTCATGATCGGAATACGGCAACCATAGAGGAATCAGTCTGATCTCCACCGCCTCCAAATTGCTTGCCTCTGTCATCTTTCACAGACTGACTGGCACTCGTGAAAGTCAGATTCGTGAGGAGCAAGCTGGATTTCGTCGAGGTGGTGGCTGTATTGACCACATCTTCACTTTGCGTCAGTCGTTGGAGCACCGTCACATATATTGGCGGCCCACGGTTGTCGTGTTCTTTGATATCAAAGGTGTATTCGATTCGGTGAATAGACGTGCACTTTGGGACTGTCTATTCAGGAAAGGCGTACCTGGGAAATATGTAAATATTATCCGAGCATTATACGCGCGTGGCTTGGGCAGAGTGAGGGCTTACGCAAGCTGTCGTCGCCCTTCAATATCTTCAGCGGTGATGACAAGGATGCCTGCTGTCACTTTTCCTCTTCTACTTCGCTATTGATAAAGCCATGGAGATTATATTTACAGGACACGACTTAGAAGATGTGGATCTGCTCGCAGGAGAACGACTTCTTGACTTAGAGTATGCTGATGATATTGCCCTAATCTGTGACAACTCACAAAGGTGCCAAGCGGCACTGGACAGATCAGCATTGGGCTTTGCTTCGCACCATCGAAGTGCAAAGCGTTCCTCCAAGATTGGTCTGGACCGTCTCCTTCGCTGACCCTTGGTGGGATCAGCTGGAAGTCGTTCAAAAATTCAACTACCTGAGAAGTTGTACCAGCATCCGTAGGATTGAAGATGAGATCATGAAACTCCACTCATGGCGGTGGCGCGACATCACTCTTGCCCTGAAAGGTAGAATGTACAATGCAGCTGTACGTTCGACCCTACTGTACGGTTGTGAAACCTGGCCTCTTAGAGCAGCGGACCTGAAGAGGCTAGTTACGTTCGACCACCGGTGTCTTCGCAATTTAGCTCACATCTGGTGGGCACACCGAGTTAGCAACGAGAGTGTTCGACGCCTTGTTTACGGCACAGAAAAAGGAACTAAACTGCTCAGCACCGTCACTTCACGCACCAGGCTCCGATGGCCCGGCCACATGTTACGCATGCCAGCCCACCGACTCTCGCGACGTACGTTGTTGGCGCGCCGGGGGTGTGGATGGTAGAAGAGAAGGGGTGGCCAAGCAATGACTTGGTGGAGAGGAATGATGGCCCTCACTTCTGAGCTGGCCTCGGTTGGAGCGTCTCGGATCCCTGGTTGGGGTCGGAAAGATGACGAACGCGTTGGGCTAGACACACTTGCTGATATGGCTAGGAGCCGACCTCAGTGGCGTACGTGCTGTGAGTTCCTTTTTTCCACCCCCATCCCTCTTGGCTTCCTCCTCCAACCAGGATCTCAATATTTAGCCTTAAATAATTTGGTATAGTAATTTTTTATGCACGGTAACCGGCTGGTAACTTACCGGAACGATGCCCATCCGTTACCGATAGCTCAGCTGGCTTGCACCAGTTATATTCTTCCTACTTTTTTCTTCTATGTATTGCGGCACAGTAGCTGATGTGTTTCCCACCTCTAGCTAATGTGTATAATGATGATGATAATCTATCCTTACTAGCTCAGACCGATGCTTAAAACGAAACAACCATTAGGTCCAGTGTCACTACACTGAATACACTGCGGACTTCGTATGCAGCGCTTTTAGGCAGCTCAGTCTGACAGTCACGAGCTCTACGCTGAGTAGTCGAGCCTATGGGGAAACACAAACAGCAACTAACTCGTTTATGGTAACATGCACTACCCCAAAGCACAGACCAATGATAGGTAAAGATGTAGGTTATTTTGGCTGTTCTCAGTGATCTTGAGGTTTGCATGGAAATGTTGAGAATCTGTGAGAACTATTCGATATGAGGTGGGGATTCTTTATATGCCTACTTAACATGTATCAACTATTACAACTGACTGAAACCTTGCCAGGTATTTAGCACATCGATTTTGAGACAAATTGTTCGCTGTCTTTGCCGCCCATATCCACCAAGTTGTGGACTGTTGCTAACTTTACTCCATGGCTCTACTTCGTAGTAGGAACTTAATATACTGAGATCAGTTCATAGCACTGCCATTCCACATTGACAGTGTCATTATCCGAACGATAACTGGTGTATTAACTATGAAACACTTCCGGTACAGAAGTACAGCGACCACATGTAGGTGGTACGACCATAATGGCGGTACATAACGCCGGTTACATCCGAATATCTGTAGTACAAAGTTAAGTGGCGAAGGTCCTAAAGAACATTAAAACTGGTGTACATCACTTTAGCGGTGATGTGCTGTGAGATAGTGGAGCAGGCATTTGTGTGAACCCTGGCAAACATGTTCGAAATGAGCAGAAAGTGATATCTTTTTGCTTTGGAAACTAACTTAGCCCGATACCGACGATTCCTCAGTCCATGTTCAAACGAGAGTCAGTGCAGTACGCAGTACTCAGTCACACGGTGAAGCCATGTGTCAGTCACGTCCTAGACAAACCTGACCTGTGTCTAAAATCTGCCGTGTGTTATCAAGGTGGCCAAATTAACATACGGCATGTGGTGTGTCTCACCTTCGTGATCAAAGGTTTACATGTGGGTGTGCCACCTCACGAATAGATTTGAACACATTTGGTGCAATACTGATAAACATGTAGCAACTAATGGACACGTGAAATGCCTTTCCATCACGTTGAGCCAAAAATAGTTTCTTCTTGGGCCGGCGGAAGTATCACAAGTAATCTCTATACCGATGTAGCAAGCACTTGTGAATTGTGTTAGTGATAAAGTGCATGAGTGCGACAAGGCTTTTGATTAACTGCGCTAGCTTGGTCAGTTGCAACCAACGGTATGAGCACATTGAGCAACATACCACCGAGAATTACTAAACCGGACACATTGGTAGTACGCACGGATAGAGGGCACATGCCACTTTGATATGTTTTGGAGTATTTCTATCCTAACCACACGTTACCAACCAATCATATATTAGTTGATCTCGAGTGACGGATAGCTCGCTAACCAAATAAATGCGCAAGCAACTGGGAACAGAGCGGAATTTGATGTGTAGCTTAATTCACTTTCCCTCACTGAGCCAAAGTGGGAATGAGCAGCGGAAATCGAGGAGCCAAAGGAACAAGTTCAATGCTTGATTTGCGAGCGGCTACCAAGAACCGTCAGCTCAAACAGTACAATTCGTACTGACCGCCGAGTGCTGAACCGGTACAAGAGCGTAAAAATCTGTGGTGACAATAACAATTCTTGTTTCACAGAAGCTTTGCTGGGTGGAACAACCTCATATCTGAATCCATGCGTCAACAGGCGGGGTAACAGAAACAGTCTTGTGCACGCGAAGGGAGCAAACAGGTCTGATTAGAATAAGTGGGTAAAGAATTACCTATGCCTTGTTGGGTAGATGCAAGTGGTTAAGTGCTCGCACGCAAAAGTTGCTCCTCTATCCATAAACTGTAGGTTGCACTTGTGGCGCCCCACGAAGTTCAACTGAAAATCTGATCGTCGTACGGGTTCAGCTGTGTACACATGGCCGTCGGTTTGTACAACAAAATTTAAGTGTCCCCCCCCCCTCATAAAGGGGAAGTGTTGTTGACCAATATGTAGAAATAGACAAAGGACAGAAAATACGTATTTGCTGCATTCGAGACGAGTTCGACGACACTTGCTCAAAGATGGAACATGAACTCTCCAGTCTAGACGACAGCTTCGCTTATCCATAAAACACGATACTGTTAGATAATCTGCACAATAGTCCATTTTCAACAATCGGTAATGAAGAGCAATAATCAACGTAACATAACGGAAAGCACAATGAACAGTCTTAGTGACAGCAAGACGGTAGTGTAAGTTGCGCAGCCACTAAGGACTGTGAGGAACGGACGTCAAAAATAACGAATATTTATAATGACTTATAACAGCGCTGACAAATGCGTCACAGAAAAGAAAAACTACCCCTCAACGGATGTAGACGGCTCGATGGTAGTAACCCTTGCTTGGATAAACCCTCCTGGATTCCCGGGCGGATTGTGCTCCAGAGCATGCTCAATCAGCATTTTGGGAACAAGTTCGTTGCCATCTCGGATAGCGGCCAGTTTTGGTATAATGGATGCCAAGCTAAGGAAACCTGTAAGAAGAAGCATGCGAAATTTGTCACACACGAGATAAGGTCTGGATGGTGACATTCCATCAACTAGACAAGTTTCTCTTCATAACCTAACCACAACTACTCATGAGTACATCAAATGAATTAGCTGACAATACGAAGCCATCAAAGAAGGTAAAGCCAGTTGCGATACTACAGTGGATTTGGGCATACCTGGTGGCGTTAGTTTGGACAGGTTACGCGCGATCTGAGCACGGCCCTATTCACGCGCGCATTCGGGTGACACGCTGAGCCCTGGAAAACGGACAACGATACGCACACGACCGGGGGGGGGGGGCTAGAAGCGCGAGACTGGGCCACACGAAACGCACAGCCAGAGCGGTGCAAACGATCACGTGACCACGCGCTTCCCAGCCACCCGCAAGAGGAGACGAGAGAGGACTAAGCAGACCTCTGGGAGCTCTTTTACGACCCACAAGTTTTAATTAAATTTGACACAGTGATTCAGTTTGTGGGGGAAATGACACTACGTATGGCTGGTGGTTTACGAAAGAACATTGTTTATTTTAGCCCAGTTGCGCCCCTGACTCGGAGTGGCTGGATCCTGCTACGTTGTGGACAGGTATTGAACTCTACGTGGCACAAACCACGCACTGGCATTTGTGGCGTATATTTGTGGGGATACTTTAAGTGTCCGTAATCAAGACAAAAGCAGGTAAATCAGTGACAAAGCTGTCTACAAATGCATTAGTATTGCGCGCAGGTACTTTGCACTGAGATGTCCTACCATTTGTATACAATGGTGCCGCGTAACCCAGGCTTGTGCTTCCGATACGATCATTTTAAGGAACTAGCTCCTTAATTCTCTTTTACTCAGCGCACCAGCTGGATGTCATCAGAGCATTTAGGAATATGGGTGCCGCGTGGTTTGTTTCACGTTTGCCTTGATGACAATCCAAGTGACTTTTATTGGGTTCAGTGGAGGCGAATATGGTGCAAGTCGCAGGAGTCTGCCTGGCTGGTAACGCCCCTCTTGGAACACGTGTCCCAGATCCGTGTGGCATGGTGCGCTATAACATTCCAGCAGACACCTAACAGTAACGGCGGTGCCATTGGCACCATACATTTGCCGCAACCACCGTGCACACCTTCCCTTGTTGCAACTATCCTTAAAATGGTATATCCTGAAAGTCCATCTGCAGTCATTACGCTCATAAGGTGAAGATTTTGTACACGAGTGCTCGCTGCAGTACACCGCGCACGGGTGCCATGTGCTGAACGCCGCGTGTTGCGAGCAAAAACAGCCTGCAATTCAGTTCATCAATCCAAACTGTCTGCCATCCTCCAGCTTCCAAGTTCATGAGTTGCAAAACGTACGATTTTCTTCGTTTCTTGTTTTCAAGCATATTCATCGAGTTCGGTTTAGCACCTAGCTTTTTCACGGTAATGAGGCGACCCTCTAGGTATCGAGCTACTGTGCCGACGACCATCTCCACATTGAATTCCGCTTGCAATCGGAAACGAAGACATTCGAAGGTTATCGGAGACTCCACTTCCACCCATTCCATCAGAAAATCCAGGTAAATATAAAAGTTAGTGAATTTCGACGTACCCCACCACGTTTTCCTTTTGGTTCGTTTGACTCTAACGTTTTCATTCAACTTCGGCAAGTAATCAGGTTGACATTTAACATAGATGCAAGCTGATTCCTGTCATCACCTTTTTCATAGGTGATCAATATTCTGGCCTTAACCTCCACCGGATGACGCATGCGTGTGTCTCCGCGTGCCATGGTACGTAAAGCGAACTAAACGATGTTAAGTTGCACCATAGATTTACCTACCCGCACAATTCGCGCTGCGCAGATGTCTAACAAGTTACGCGGTAAGATGGAGACGGCTTCAAATGGAGACGCAGCAGCAAGCCAACATTATTGACATCAACCATACTGGGACATCATATATTGTAAGCGATAAAACGCTTAGAAACCTTGAGCGATACGCACAGCCACCGGTTATCTAAATTCAAGACCGGAACGGATCCGCAATCCCCGGGATAAATCAAAAACGTAATGCCGGTGTAACTGTGACGCTACTGAATAATAATAACAAATGCCAAAAGTGACAACCCTCAAACAGTTTCCTCACACAAACGCAATAAAATCTTCGGTGAATACCACAGAAGACCGATCCAAAAGCCAAGCAAAGACAAGCACAAAATGCAAGCAAGTGAGCGAAACCATAACCGAGAAGCACCGTTTCGAAGCCAGCCAATCCACCAATTAACTGTGTAAAAGTGTGGACATATGCCGAGCAGTCAAACTCGCTTGATGTGGCAATGATTGATAGGGCAAAATACACCAATAGCATAGCTTGGAAGATCGATTGGATGTGAAGATAGACAGGTTCAGAACAGCTGCTTGGCGGAGTGTCTGTCGTGTGTATTCTGTGGTGAGGCTCCCTGTGGCGTCTGCGATGGGTTATCGGTAACGAGCATATTAAACGATGGTGTAAAAGTAAAATGTGTAAGGTGGGTTGAAGTAACCATAGAACGTGGTCTAGATGAGCAAAGTCGAATGGTTTATCAATGTTAAAGGGGTTAGTAAAACAGGCAGCCGGGGTTCTGGCACAGACAAAGGGAAATGGGCTGTCCATAATAAGATGTTGTGGGGGAACAATGGAAGTGAGAGTTCTAAACGACTGGAGAAATTGATCTCTCCGACACATATATAGTGAAGCTCGTGTTGGATAATCCAAGTGGACCAACGGCGCAGAGTATTGATGGATGGGTCAAGGCTAAAGCGCAGACGGCCTCTGTTGCAAGGTTGGAGCATTTAGGGACGTAAACACGAGACAACTGTGTAAGCAACAATATTCGCTTGGAAGGTTCCAGTGACGCGTTTCCACCGGGACCAAAGAAACTGCAAATCCTTAACTGTATAACGGCACTATGGGATGAAAAAATCATCAAGTCCTTAACTGAACAACGATACTATGTACAAACCAACAAATGAGCAGTTACAAGAAATATCTTAACGATTATGCTTCCAAACTCAGGACAATTACAAGGACAATCGTTTGGTCAGAGTCGAAAAGTCCAACTTCAGTCCGCGCTGTACGAAATCACACTACTAAGGTACACGACGTGTTTATAAGAGGGGTACAGCGGTGAGACTGACTTATTACCGGTCCAAAAGGGGATGTTGATTGGGTAAACCTCAAGGGGGTGTGAAGTTGGCCTGCGCGACACGTTCACTAACAGATGCACATAGACAAAGGAGGAAATGGTTAGACAGGCTCTTCCGGTGGGGACAAAAGTTCAGCGGACAGGTATAATCGGTGAATGGTAAAGGTCATCCAACGACTCTAATTAGTGAAGGGCAAAGTGTTGACGATCGTAAACAAGGTTAGACAATTGTGTAGAGGCAATTTAAGGTCGTGAGAATGCGAGGTGATAACAATTTTAGGGAACCTAAGGCGGAACTTGGGGGAGATAAGGTATCACGACGAAATGAGGTAGTATAGTCATAATGTTTGGTAGGGGAAAGGAATATGGAGTGAAAATGGGATCGCGACGTCCGAATGTCCTCAGCAAACGGGGCATTGGGTGGAACTCGCTTCGAGGCGGGCAATCATTGCAGATTTGTGTGTCGAACGAGGCTAAACACCCCCTCCCACCAAAGCGTGATTGAGATGTGCTGCACGCCACGATGCCACAATTACCTCAGTTAAGAATTCATTCGTACCCCTATATCTAGGTGTCGCTGCAGAGGCGGGTGAAATGGGAAATATTATGTAGGCCGAACTGTCTGGCAATGGCAAAAGCATTCGTCAAGACATATTTCAGACGATACTAATGGGCGTCAAGCTCATCAACTTCAGTCACCACTGGTCAGCCAGTTAGTCATGATACCGTCAAACTGCAGAGTGCGTTCAAGTTGCAGGGCATTTTAAATTCACGACAATGAACTCTTCCACTGACAATTCATGAGTAACTTGTTCATTAACAGAATGCAACCGCGAAAACGGTATATAGTTCAGTTGGAGTCTGACAGATAAAATAAAGAATTTGACAATGTTTAGATTTACTTGACTTCTGTTACTAATCATTTCGGTTTAAAACTTTAAACTTACGATACTTTGCTACATCATTACCTTCGAGTTCCTGCCCCATAAATTTTGTTACGAGCAAGCATTGGTTACAGACAGAACGCTCTGCAGATTTACTGCCGGATTGTTACATGCGAGTGGACTTGCTTGGTGAGAAACTGGACCATAACAAGTATTCAAGCTAAAATTTCACGCAAGCACTTTATTACAACTGCCTGCTTTATTTGGTTAATTGCCTTTGCTTCAACTAGCTAGATCACTAGGTCGCTGTAGTTGAGGAGAGACTAAACACGCGATTTATTTGATTCGTGTTTACATGCTTTTATAGTTAGTTTCCACCGGTAGAAAAACTAGACTATCCCGTTGAACATATCTTGCAGCCGAAAAAACAGGCCCCTTTTGAAAGTGAATCCACCATCGGTGTTCGCAACCTCTGCTCACCGTTTCACAAATCCCGTAAAAACTTCGTGTTAGCTTCTTAGTCTCAGCTTACACTCGTTCCAGATACCACCACTTACGGAAACTATGCTCGACATGCTGCTAAACAGCAGCTCCGAGCCGAACAAACATAGTAAGCATTGCATGAACAATCTAAACAACCCACTGGCAGAAATCCATGTAAACCGTTGATTTGCTAGCAAAAGTGTGCTTGCATTTCTAATTCTTTAACTTCACCAGCTTCTTCTACAGCAGCATTATCAAAAGTTCCCGCTGCTTCTATGCTGTCAATATGGCTTTCTGTTACCCGGATATCAACTTCTGTAGTACCAATTTCATCTTGGATCACTAAATGAGTATCATCCCTCGTTTTGACCACTTCAGTCATAGAATAAATTTTGATGAATTTACACTAGGTATTCGGCAGCCATCCGTACTAAAATTGTCGCCCCATGTCACAAGCCGTCCGGGGAG